CCCGAATTATCCGTGTGCGCGGGGTCTGCTGGAGCCTTGATGAAAGCCTCGGACAGCAGTTTCTAGCTGAGGATGAATAAAACACCGCAGGGATCCTCTTCCAGCCCTGAAGTTTAAAATATTAATAGGATATCATTCTCCCGACAAGCATTGCAACAGGTAGTGAGCACTTTGTTCCTCTTAGTGGAACCGCGCGTTTTAATGGAAATGCGGCGTCACTTAAATTATTGATGGCCAAAAAGAACCGAGTCCGCTGCGTGTCCACAGATATCAAGATCTTTTCAAATGGGCTCCACTGGATCCCGTTCTGCTCTGTGAATGTTGCAGCCCACGGGCACCAAACCGGCCCACGGGCACCAAACCAGCCCGTGCTCCCCGGGGAGGGAGCAGCTGAGCTTGGCCAGGTCTCGGCAGCCCTGGGCAGCCTGGCAGGAGCTGGAGAGAGTCTGGCCCCGTGGTGTGCCAGAGGCTGCGATCACTGGGTGCCTGCACGGGGCGAGTGTCCCTGCGGCTCCCCCCGGGCCGCGTGGCTCTCCCTGCCTGTGCCCACGCTGCTCCAGCAGAGACGGTCCACAAAGGAGAGGAGTCGCTCTCTGATGGTTCAGCTCTTGTTGGCCTTTCTTACCCTGTGCAGAACGAAATTCATGGCAACAGCAGCCGCACTGGCTTCTTTCCTGGTGGAAACGCAGGGAGCAGCACGTTTGGTTTCTCCCACCTTGTCCAAGGGTCCAGCAGCAGCAAGTGTTTTGAGGACATTTTTGAGAAACGTAGATACTCCTGATGTTTTTCCAGCTGCCCACAAAGTTTTCCAGGATCGCAGGAGAAGCTGAGCTCTGCTGCAGGAACACGACCCATCGCAGCTCCTCAGACCGTCTCCAGAGCAGCAGCTCAGGGCAGAAGCCCACGCTGTCCCCTCCGACTGTGACCTCCTCGGGGCCACCCCGGTGCCGAGCGCTTGCACGACCCACTGGCATGGGCAGGAGCTGCTGGGAACCCCAGAGTCTCCACTGACGTTATTTGAGCTGTCGCTCCCTCGGGCAGCACGTTGGGTGGTGGACAGTGTCGGTTGGTCGAGGGGGACTGGGACTACCCTCCAGCTTTGCTGATCCTGTTTTTTCTCTTTCTCCTCTCCCGTTCCTGGACTCGCAGCAAACCCTGGAGACGAACCTCACCAACCTGGTTAAACGCAACAGCGAACTGGAAAACCAAATGGCGAAGCTGATACAGATCTGCCAGCAAGTGGAGGTTGGTGAGAGCGACCAGGGGACCGGGGGAGTGATGGGGAAGGTGCCCTGGGAAGCTCCTGGCTCCAGCGACGGGATGTGTGGGATCGCTCCTGTGTCCGTTCCCGGGGGCTGCCCTGGGGACAGAGGAGCGAGTGGTGGGGAGCGTCACCGATGCCCGGGGCTGGTGGGAGGCTGAGTTGTTTCGGAGGGTCCAGTCCCACCGCCGGGTGCAGGGGAGCAGCTCCGTCTGTGCCGAATCACGCCCGGGGCTGCCGCGATGTTCCTCGTCCCCCCGCGAGCTGCAGCCTGAGCTTTTGCCAGGTTGGAGTTTTACCGTTCGTGCGTTACCGTAGGGCCGTGTTGTCCTGAGCGCAGTTCCCCCCAGGCTGAGAAGGATGAGGTATTTTTCCCCCCGCTGTTCTCTCCAAGAGCTCTCCCCCACCTCTGCTACACCCGCGGAGCCTTCGCCCCGAACGCAGCATTTACTGGGAACTAGTTCATCCCAATCCAGAGCGATTTGGCCGGTACTGAGCTGTGCCAGAGCAGAGCTATGCCACTCCGAAATCCCAATCCGTGCTCCCGGGCGCTTTGGCACGGGGACCCCGGCCTGGGAACACTCCCTCTGGGACAGGAGGCAGGTGAGGAGAGGCGCTTTGTCCGCCGCTGTCGCTGTCCCAGGGCACGACCGCCGGCCAAGCTGCAGGTTTCTCGCCCCGGGTAGGTTTTTGGATTTAGGATGCATTTAACCAGGAGCCCAGGATTTGTGCTTGGCATGCTGGGCTGGAGGGGGAGGGTGGCACTTGCCAAAGGACTGCCCCACCTTCTCCTCCTGCTGCTGCTTTTGCAGTCCTGGCACCCCAGGCACCCTCCTGCTGGCAGTGCCAAGCGCCGGCACTGCAGCCACTTGGAGACAGCCCCACGTGCTGC